ATTTTTTGACAACCAAAATGTGCGCAGCGGTCAATGACCCAGCTCCATTGAATTCTCCATTGAGTTCAAAGTGACTTTTACTTTTATGATTGCGAAAAAGCATTCAATGTTATCATATTAAGTTAAAAACGTAGTCGGTCTGTTGTTATGTTAGTTAAGTTAGAATTTTTAGGATTCTCTGGTTCGGTTGAGTAGTTGGAAGCGTGACTTTTTAAAAAGCAAGACGTTGAGATACTGTACAGGGCCAGAAAAACCGGGGCAACAACATGATTATGAAAATTCGATAGTTTCTTTAGCAAAAACTATATTGATTTCGAAGTTTCAATGCAATAAAACATGCACACAACACAAACAGCTTACATTTCTACTTTCGACGACTGCAGGAAGATATTCTAAAAAGGAATATGCAGTACTTATGTACCTCTGTTTTTGTTTTTTGTTTTCATATTGTTTTGTATTTTTTTATATGACAGTGCTGCAAACCAGCAGACGTATTATGGTAAGCAATCAGCGCTACCCATGGACACCCGCAACAACATAGGAGTAACGAGTGCGTTGCCGACCTATTGGGCATTTGAGATTCCAAATCCTTCCAAAAAGATTAGGCTAGAAAAAGGATTGGGCCTCACACACACACACACACACACACACACAAATGGCGAAACAAAACACAAGTATTGTTTCACGCCGGTATTCTATGAGGCAGTGGTATCACTCCGGTCGAGCCGGCACATCCTTGCCGAAGCAAGGATCTCCCACTTCGATTTTATATTGCTTATATAGCTACGTCGACCAGTATGTCCTCAAGCCTGTCCTTATAAATTAATTATTAACTGCGCTTACAACACTTAGGTCCATTAAGTTCTTAGTAAGTACTAAAACTGGAACTTAAAAGCGTGTCATTGCAAAAGGTTTATTATACTACTAGACTACATATTAACAAATCATCTTTTGTATAAAACTTGGTTTCGTTCATAAAACCTATCATCATCATCATCATCATCATCAGCCTGTTGTCGTCCACTGCTGGACAGGCCTTCCCAATTGCACGCCACTCTCTGCCACGCTCTCACTCACTCACGCCGAGCTCGATGTTCAGCTCTTCTTATCCAACTTAATAAAAACCTATGTTTGGCTACAAACATCAGATATTGGCAGACCTACCATAAATGGGTCTCACTGGGGACGACGTGCAGCAGAATTTACAGGTGCTAGCGCTAAGGCTTACCACCCCCCGGTTCAGAGCAGAAGAAGAAAGGAAGGATGGTTTTAGTCAAAAAGAGTTCGACGGGAGTGTCCACTCAAGAAAGGAGTAGCCATTTAACTGTAGCCCCCGCTTCCCACCTCAAATTAAAAACTGACCAAATGTCAAATAGGGGACATAGCCATGATAAACATGATCCAATTAGAAAAAAATCCAAAAGCTATCCTAATTTGAAATCAGAATCGAAAACTAAATACTTAAAAAATGAGACCTGTACGTTGGTAACAGCATACAAACTTCTTGGTAAGGGCGATCGAAGCCCTTTCGTAATACTAAAACGAGTTCTCAACGAATGTTTAAGAACTGGTTTAAAAAGGTTGGTAATGGATTTTTATACACACATATTATATACACTGTACACTGAGCATAATTCTGACTCCAGTTTTATGGAATAGGGTGGCATGTGAACAAACGGATCAACTGATGGTGAACAATCAGCATAGCCCATGGATATTCGCAATACTACAGATACAAGAGCGTTTGCTAGCTTTTTTGAGATAGGAAAATTTAAGATTGAGAAAAACATAGGAATTTTGGATGAGGAGTGAGGAGTGGAAGATTGAGCCTCCGGTAAGGTCATTTGGGCGACAAATTTTACATATCTAAATTAATAAAATAATAGATTTTCGGTCAGAAATTCGATCCATAAATGCTTTTGCCGCTTCGATCAAAAGTTATGTAAAAATCATGGTTCTTAAAATGTATATGACCCCATTAAATACGCAAATTAATTCAACTGTTAATATTATTTAACCGAAACGTGAAGGTCGTTAAATATAAATAAGTAGGTTCTAATAGACCTCTTGTTTGACCTCTTTCTTCATTTCTTTTTGAGAGGCGAATTGGGTTTTTCTGTGGTGTAAGAATATCACGTTTTTTGTTTTTTTTATGTGATGGGTCGACAAACGAGCGAACGGATTACCTGTATTTTGTATTTTTTATTAGTACCTAAGCAATCAGCGCCACCCATGGACACCCGCAACGACGGACGGAAGTGTTACGAGTGCATTGCCAACCATTTTGGGTTAGGGGAGGGGTATAAGATGGGTCCTCCTCACTTACACGGCGAAATACAACGCTGTGGTTGTTACACGCCGGTTTTCTGTGAGGCCGTGGTATCACTCAGTTCGAGCCGATCCATTTTTGTTGCTGAGGTTGAGGATAATAATGATAAATAATACTTTAACTATTCTTTAGTAACGGTTTTGTTTTGGAAACAAACCATTAAGCTGGCTATGACTACTGTAAATATGGTTAATAGCAGTATTTAATACAAGGATAAAACACTAACCTATTGATTCAGTCGTAATCATAATTAGTGAGAGTCAGATGTCCCACATATACTCAGAGACACCTAAAATTCCAGACTGTGTTTGTGGACACAAGCCCAATTCTGACCTGTGACCTAAAATCGAAGCAGGAGAAGGAACTGGGTGATTTTTTGTCAATAAGAATCAGACAATAACTATCGTCCCACCCAGGGCGTAAAAAGACATTGGATGATTATGCCCCTCAAAAAAACGTTACACACAAAAAATGTTTTTCTTACAGTTTGTCAGTGGTATTTAAATATACTAAGAAAGTACGTGCGAAGGTGATGTATGAGGGAGTGGATTTGAAACCTGGCGAGTACCAATTTGACCTTTTCGAATACATTGCTGAAGCCGATTTGAAAACTATGGCCGTCTGAGACATAACTTGTTTTTAACCTATTTCATTACTAGGTCATAACCACCATCGGATGGAACAGTAAACATCACTGAAAGAAGAGCGCCCGCAAGTACAAGGGCAAGTGTAGTGATGGATTCAGTTTATAGTGAATTAAGATAAGGATTTTATTCAGTTATAACTTTTAACCTTCCTCTTTACACAATATTATCTCGCTTAGGTACGCTAGCAAGAGCCTGACATCAATCTAAAACAAAAGATCAAGGCTCATAAAGATTTAAACATGTTAAAATATTAGATACATACACACTGATTATAATTCAAAATGACACGGTTACGGAGCCATGAATAAATATTAATGAATATTCACGTAGAAAGGACATAAATGTTGTAAAACAGGCTGGAAATTTTTTTTCTTGTTTTTTTTTTACTTTTGAGACGAATTATATCAGGTTTTCGAAAAAAAAATATTTCGTTAATTTATTAGGCACACGTGACTCAAACTTCGATGGCAACTAAACGTCATTACTTGCTATAATTTACATTTTCTACCAGTTAACAACAGCGAATCATGGACTGGTTCTGTAGTAAAAGTTATCATATCACGTGTTTTAGGTAAAACGTGGGTTACCGTGTTAGTAAGTACGTAAGTATATTTTACATTTTGTTAAATTTAGATTGGGGTATTTGCTTAGGTTGATAGGGATAAGATTAGGAGGAGGATTTGGCCTCTGACTCTCTGAAATTAACTTATTCGGTGAAATACAACGCATGAGTTGAAAGCGAATATTCTTTTGTTAGGCCGTGGCATTTTCACCGTTTTAGCCGAGCCATTCGTGCCGAAGCATGGTTCAATCACACTTATTTACTAGGTGGGAATTAAATATCTACTAGACTATGATTTTATATACACTACGTGACGCTAGGAATTGATACTTTAAGCCACATTTTTACTTAATAGGCCTATCAGCGGTCACTCCATAACAGTTCATTTCTCCACAACATTTCAATTACTGAGTGAAGTTTCCCAATAGATTTATAGTTTTTAAAGTTTGCGTAAGCAACGGTTAAGAATTGTATATCAATCACAATATTTAGCTGCTTCACACTGGCCTTCGTAAGCCGTGTTATGACATGCACGTATGGTTGTGTGGGTTTTTTCGGTACAATGGATCTTCACCTTTAAGGTTTAATTTTTGTTGGTAGAACATCACCAGGTTTGTGCGCGAGGGAGTGTCAGACATTTACTGGCTAAAAACCCCCCCGTTCCTTATCCTGCCCGGGGTCGAGGCCGCGGTGCCTCATTGCGCTTGCCCCGCAACCCCGGCTGAAGATTAACCCTACTTCTAAAGTGCCTCGTCTCTGGTGGTCTATTGGCTCTCTTCTTTGTGTTTCGATATTCTAACTTGTTGTCTAACGTTGTCCTTGAGGTTCACTTCTTTTTTGTACTTTTTGCCTGAACATTAGTGTTACATTGTTCTCACATATCAGAACCGACTAAATGATGTAACAAAGAAATGTATTGTAAAACTGATTGAAAAAGAGTAACCATGGAGTTTCTTGCTCGTTCTTCTCCATAGGAATCTACACTTTGGAACGAGCAAATAGCTTCACTAGAGGACAGACGGACAGACTGACACGCTTAATTTTAAAACTCTTTTTATATACAGTTTTCCTTTTTTGCTTGCTTGACGTTCAAAAGTGCCTACTGTGGTCTAATTGAAATAAATGATTTTTGACTTTGACTTTTGACTTTAACGCAAAATTTGGAAATTAAAATCTATAACGTAACGTAACGAATTTTTTTTTGTTTAAGTTTTGTTTATTAAAATGCTAGGAGGAATTTTGCTTAAAATTGGAATACAGATGATTTAATGAGTATGACAATAGATTGTTTTTGAATAGTCCTAACTATAGTGAGACACACAGAATTTATTGAAACTATGACGTACGAGAAATAAGTCACAAATTGAACGAACTATCTGCCACTAATGTACGTTTATTGAGACTTATACGAAGATGGTTAAAGAGGCGCCCAAGAATATAAGTAAAGAACGTGACAACTTACCGACTTCATGAGGTAAATGAGGCTGCTTATGTAGCCAATCTTTAAACACCTCCAACTCCCTGCTCGCGTCTACTTCAGGCATGATTCTGAAAGAAAACAAAACTGAATTTAATAAATTTTTATCAAGACCAAATAGGTTTCGTAATACTTGATAATTAATTTTCTAAAATAAGGCCTTACGTGAAATGAACTACGAAAATTGTTGAAGTATCGTGAATAAATATACTCTATACTTCTATACTAACATTATAAAGAGGTAAAATTTGTAAGTTTGTATGTTTGTATGTAGGGGGTAAACTTCGGAACCGCTGGTCGGATTGCCAAAATTTCACTGATAGATAGCTACAATGTTCCTGCATGCTATAGGCTGCACGCATTGTAGCACGCTACAATCAAATGGAGCTGAGCAGCATGAAACCGCGCGAGAGTAGCTAGTACCTACTAAATATACATATTGAAAATAACGACTTCTCACGCGACTTAACTGAGAAAGGGTGCGCCCACTTCAGCGAAGCAATATCAAGTGTTAGTTTTTTGCTGATCGTATTGATATCGTTAGAGTTACTCCTCGACCACAAACCCTCAAAAAATCCATCTTACAAAAAAACCATAAAAAATATGCATATGCACAGAGCGTAGAGCACAGTTTTGAGGGTTTGCACCAAGAAAGGCAAGAGACCCCAACTTCAGGCCTTGACGTCCTCTAGAATTTGTCGCCCTGGGCCATCGCCCCATGGCCCCATCACTGCCCCGGGCACTGTGTGAGCCCGCGAACCTACTCAGTTAACTCGCGCGAGGAAGTCATTATTTTCTTACGATAACACAATTGATGTGATTTTATATTGATGGAGTGCAAAATACCTAAAACCTTTTTCATAAACCAGCTGTAGGTTTAGTCTGGCTCTTAAGATCGGCTACTAGGCAATTGGTCGTATAAAAACCACTAATAGCTGACTCTCTCCGGTAAACGAGCAGACGGATTACCTGATGGTAAGCAATCGGGGCTGACACTCGTAATATCAAAGGAGTTCTACAAGTGCGTTGCCGGCCTCTTGTGGGTTATTAGGAATTTAAGGATAGGGGATTTACGGATAGGATGGGGGGAACAATTGGGCCTAAGAGGCACCGGTAACAAACACGTATGTATAAGTGTTGCTTCACGCCGGTTTTCTGTTTGGACGTGGCATCACTCCGGTCTTTCCGAAGCATGGCTCACCCACACTTATTTTTTCCGCAGAATCCTACTATAAAATACAAAACTACAACAATACATTAGCAACTGCATAAGCACTGTATCCTGTTTCATTGTATTTATATTTATGTCGACCAGCTGCATATAATCTACCATTGCATGTATAATAGGTAGGTATATACCAATGTACCTACTGATCAAATAATCATCAGTCAATTGTTCTGAGAGAATCAGTTCTTCGTGTTATGACGTCAGACGCCATTGTTTACAAATTATGTATAATGAACACATAATGTGGTGTAGTAATGTTGTCTATACATAGGTATGTATATATACCGACTATTATTGTATATCTATCTTGCTGTATGATATTGTGGCCTGGAGGTTGGGTCGCCCGCTTCTTATAGTACAAAAAGGTTAGAAATCTAGCAACTACCAATGTGGCTTTTTTGAGTTAAGTATATGCAATTTCTTCTAAGATTATTCAGACACCACAGGCTTTCAGTAAAGAAAAACATCTTAAGAAAACTTATTATTATAGTCTTGAAATCGCCAATCCACCTTGAGCAATTTTTTATAAGGGAAAATCATCAAATGCCTTTACACGCCCAGGGTGGGAGGGAGTGTCAGACTCTTACTGACTAAAAACTCCCCCCTTCCTTCTCCTGGTCTAGGCCGTGGGCGCGGTACCTTATTGCGTTTACCCCGCAACCCCGGCTGAACATCAGCCCTATAGGGCCCCGTCTGTGGTGGTCTATTGGCTAATCTGACTTGAGCAAGCGTGGTGATTAACGCTCTAACCTTCTTCGTTTGAAAAGGGCCGTTTTACTAACTTTTAAACTTTCGCGTTTCATATTAATAACATACACATATATTTATTTTACGCGTTTAATAACCGCGTAAAAAAGGACCGTTTTGCTCAGCAGTGGGAACTTATAGTGACAGTGTAAATACCTGTACTATATTTGATGATATTGAACACAGGTATAGACGTAACAGAAGATAATAATACATAATTATGAATTATGGCGAAATAGTATGATAGATAAGACCAAATTAAAAAGATCGGCAGACAAAGGTTAGCGTTTTTTTTTAATTGTTGTAGGTAGGTATGGCTAATTAAATAAGTTTTTTAATTATTATTCCTTCCACGTTATTTAAAAAAATGTTGAAGTGCGTCAATAGGTTGTACCTAATGTGAGTAATAAAGGTTTTTGTTTGCAGAAATTAAAATCAAATCAAAATGACTTGCGCAAGTAAAGTATAATTTTTAAGTAAGTAAGTAAGTATACATAATACCTATATCATAACCAGTTATTTTAAAGTTCCTTATATCGAAAATACATAGGTACCTACATACACAAACGTATTGTTTTAATTATTCAAAATTATTATGTAATCAAACGAGTTTTTTTCTGACTGGTTTTAGTAAAATCATATTTTTATTCATCTTGTTTCATCTATCAGTTAATGCTTCCTTACAAAACTATATGCTGACTGGCTACAACGCTTAATTACCTACAATTATAAAAGTACAAAATGGTTCTGTACAACAAAATTGTTTTTTTTTATCTTCAGTATCTTTATTCGCATTCCTATATTTATTGAATTCAATGATTTCCTTAAGAATTCCAAAATCCTACTCATATTGTAAACGGGAAGATTTCTTTATAAGGATAGGTGTTCGTTTATAGTGTAGGAGAGCCAAGCTTCGGCATGAATGGGTCGGCACGACTGGAGAGATACCACGGCCTCACACAAAACCGGCGTGAAACAACCACACCGTTGTGTTTCACCGTCTGAGTGATAGATTTATTATATTTAGTCTGGAATAAATATAGACTACTATTTATCCTGATACCAATTACGGGTGAAGCTGCTGACAGAAACTAGTATGTAATAGATAAGCAATAAACATAATTATTGACGTGCGAACGTCTGTTAACAGCAGAATTTACGGAACTCCATAATTCACACACATTTACGATATCAAAAATAATAAGTTACAAACTGTCATGCATGGTCAATTAATTTTTGTTTTTATAATCCTGAGGATTTCATTTGACATATTGTTATTATTCATCTTAACTTCAACTTTTCGTGTTTTAAATAATAGATTCCGCAAAAATATTTAAATATAAAAAACCGCGTTCAATTGTTACAAGAATTTTCTATGGATGAGAAGACATCGTTTATCAATTTTGGAGAAATTAAAAGCAAACATCATCATCCTTACAACGTCCTGCACAAATCTTTAGAAGCCTTTTTTTAGTCCAAATGCCACCACTGCAAACCCAATTAAAATTGGACCAATATTTGAATTTGAATATAAATAAAATTTATTTAATTTCTAATATAATATCTATACCAATATTTTCTTGCTGTTTTTTTGTGATTAATAATTTTTACAACAAAATATTCTTTATTTTCGGTAATCTGCTTATGTGAAACAGTTTTTATTATTAAGGTCTCGATGTATACGTGTGGTATATATATGTAGGTATGTATAGCGTCCGCGTGTTGGATAAAAAGCAGCCTATTTGTCAATCCACAGTATCACCTATCTACTTTAAATTACCACTAAATTGGTCCAGACGTTTTTGAGTGAAAGAATAACAAACATACATACTTACCACATCTAGATTCCACATCTACATTCTCACAAACTTTCACATTTATGATATTGGTAAGATAATCAGAAATTTATGTCTATTCTATTACATTCTATTCTATTTCCACAATAATAAGCCTTAAACTTTGCACAAAAAAGTGTCTACCATAAATATCAGATAAATAAAATGTAGGTAGGTATATTAAGATAACTCTATAACCTCATCCTCATACCAACACGCAGAGGAGGACCAAGTTCACGAAAGATTAATAGTTGGCATTGCGTCCTACATGAGTAAGGTGAGGCCTCGCGCGCGATACGAATACAAACATTTTATAATAATTTAAACGCCAATAGGTACTACTAGCGATCAAATGTTAAAAATATACTATATGTCCATATACTAGGTATATCAACAGAGTAAAAAGTATATGGAGCGTTCGTAAAAGGAGAAGGTCTCGACAAATATAACGCATTTTTTTTCTAATTGAAACAAAAAAGCTGAGCTAAAAAATTTAAAAAAAAATATCAATTTTTATTACATGTTATACATGTACCTATAACTTTAAGCAATATTGATTACTAGTCTTTATTAGTCTTAATTTCGTAAATCAGTAGTTTTTTTTCCTTTTATTGAATTGAGATTTGGGATATGGGGTTGAACCCAATCTCACGACATCTCACCAAGGGAGGGACAGAAAATGTAAAAAAAAACCATAACATATTCAAATATATACTAAAATATATATATATTTTTAACGCTTAATTTAGTGGTTCGAATATTATATACAATTATTTTTGTGTTAATTTGTCCAAACAAAACATCACGCTTCAATCTGTAGAAGCCGAGTAGGTATAGGGTGATTTTTTTTACAATTTAAAACTGCTACTGCCCTACTCAAAAACAAGTTAGCATATTACGTACAAACGTCAGAGATTTCTGTTCTAAAATCTTTCGATAGCTTGCTAATTTAATTCGAAAGTATAGCTAACCGGTCGCGTTGTCACATCACTATGCTATTTGCAAGGCTATGCAACTAACATATATACATGACATGTATTAGGACATGTTTTCGATACATCTGTCGGTTCATACGTGATGAACTTAAAAACTGCTAAGCCAATTTTGATCAAGGTTTGATTGGAGGATCATGAGAGAGTTTTTAAATAAATTTTATTTAAAATTCTTATATGAATTACTAGAAGATGGGGTGAAGGCTGGTTCAATAAAAATGAAAGAAAAGAAAAACTTCTTCTTTCAGAAAATTTGGCAATATAACGAG